ACACACACACACACACACACACACACACACACACACACACACACACATCGTTTTCTAAATCCTGTCTGTGTTTCTGTCCTTTTCAGAGCAACGGGCTTTGGCTTCTTGAACGCGCTCTGTAAAGCGGCGGCCGTCCTGGGAAACTTAATATTTGGATCCTTGGTCAGCATTACCAAAGCAATCCCCATCCTGCTGGCTTCCACCGTGCTCGTGTGTGGCGGACTCGTGGGGCTACGCCTGCCTGACACACGAACCCAGGTCCTGATGTGACTGAACAAAAGCCATTTCCTTCTCCTGCCATCGGTTGGTCCTCCTGCCCGACTAGAGGCTTCAGAGTTTTTGTGTGTAGAAAGGTGGCCAAGTGTCAGAACACCAACTTTTGCTGTGACCTCAAGTGTAGTTGCGTATCGTGATTTGCACCGTTTTCTTCTTTTCCCACGCATTGTTATCTTTTCCTAACTGTGCTGCTCCTGCTCCCCAGTGCCCTGTGGAAGTGTTCCTAAAATGTCCCGGGGTAAAGGCTGTGCTGGTGTAAGAAACAGACCCTGATCCTGGCGCCTCATTAACAGGAAGCTTAGGCTGGCTTGATTGAGTTTGTGCTGAGGAAAGGGATTTCTTTTTCTTTCTTTCTTTCTTTTTTTTCATACAGAGTGATATTTCCTGTTTACTTAGAAAAAGGACATCCAGCCACTCTAGCTGTTACAGCAGGGTGCTTCAAAAGAATTGTGTGACACGCTTGGGATGGGCTCTTTCAGGCAGGACTTTTAAGGTGATTTTGCTAATAAGAAAGTCTGTCCCCAGTTGGCAGCAAAAAACTGCTTGAGCTGTAGAAGGCAGATTGCAGATAGAAAGCCCAGTACCCAATACATGTGAGGGCTGGGGCATCACAGTATGTGACTGTGGCATGCAAATCACCGCAGTCACAGTGTTTGAAAACAGATCGGAGATCTTCTGCCTCTCTTTGCATTTCCTGGAAAGCTCTCCCAGACCTGGCCAGATTGCAGATACAGAGGGGGAAAAGCCATTTCTTAAAAATTATTCCCTCCCAAGTTTCTGGTCCAGCAATTGGCTGTAGAAATTAGAAACCGGCAAGAAATTCACAACCAAAGCCATCGGGAAATGCAAAGGGGTACCTCTCTCAGTACTGTTACTTGAGGGTCAAAACTACCCGCCCTCCTTTAGTCAACTGTCCACTGTCACTTCTTAGCCAGAAGCTGTACAGCAGGTCCTGCCAGCCTTCCCAGGCTGTGGGCTCCAGCCTTGTCTCTGGGCTGCTTCTGAGCCTGCTCTCACAAGCTACCCTCTGGCAGGCAGGACAGCATCTCCTGGTGGATTTCTGTCTGTTTTACCTTCGGAATCTTCATGAGCATGGCAAGGAGAGGTCAACAGGACATTCCCACGGGCCAGTTGTCAGCTAAATGACCTGGTCTCTCGCTGAGTCCCCCTCCCCCAAGCTCATTCTTTTACACATCTTTGAAATCTGAAGCCTTCTTGTAGATTTGCAGCCTGTGATAACAGCCAGCATAAGTCTCATATTTAAACAACATTCTCTTTTTAAACTCCCTCTGCCGTGTTGGAGGGTGATCCTTGTTGCTTATTTGAAGCTTTTCCTGCATGACCAAAGCCCTGGGGCTTGCAGAAAAAGGAAACTTTTGTTTCCACTAATCATTATGTTCAGAGATGGCCTGGCTCCCTGAGGGGCCCCTGCCTCCCCTCCCCTACCACATTCCCTGATCCCTTCTGGAGCTCAAATTCTGTGAAAAGCTCTTTGATTAACATAAGCCATTAATCCACTGTCCCCATCAAGTAATTCAGGCTTGGTGGAGGGGACAGCCTAGAATTAAGATGGGAAGCTGCAGAAAGAGAGTCATTCCCTGGAGATGATATGGGCACTCAGAGCCAGGATGTCAAGGGTATCAGCAAAATCTTTGGAGATGACCTGGAAGAAGGCAAATCTTTAAGACGAAACATGATTGACTTGAAAGACACCCACAAAGCAGGGACCAGAACAGAACTCCTTGCCACTTCCCTTCTCATCGCTGAGAAACAAACCTGTGTTTTTAAAGCCCAAGAAAGTATCGTTATTCTCTTTCCATGTGGGCTCATTTCCCCCCTCACTTAACCCATTATTTGTCTTCTTGTAAAAGACATGTCGGAGGCCCATAGCTGATCTTTTGGTTGAATGTGGCATGCAACAAAATTGCTGCAAAAGTAAGATATGGATTCCTATCTTCCCAGTGCAAAAAAAGCAGACATATACAAGGGCATTGCTTTGAATTTACTGGGTAATCCTTAATCTCAAATTGTCTCCATTCTCTGTCTTATAGTGTAACTACATCAAGTGCATTCCAAACTGTAGGACAGAGTTATTTAGAATTTTATCTGGCTGCTGGGTTGGGTCAGCATGCTAACTCAGCAGAACCCCACTTCATATGTTCTTTTCATAAGTCCCACTTCATAAACCCACTTCATCTGTCCTCTTCAGGAGAACCATTGTAGTCCCCTACCCCAGGCTTCTCAGGTGGCCCAAGAGGGATGTCTTCTGTAATATCCTGGACAATCAGTGGTCACAAACCTTCTTGGTCACTGCTTTTCCTCAGCCCCATCACTGTGCATCACCTTTGTTGTCCATGACACTGTCCTTGCTGCTTCCCAAGATGAAGTGTGGCTTGTTAACTAGAGGTTAAGATACAACCGTGAGATTCAACAGAAGCCCCAGTTATGTGAGTATCACAAGCCTTGGCACCAGGGCAGACATCTGCCATCCCACTTAATGTGAAAAAAAAAAAGGAAATTTAAATCTGTTTCAAAAATGAAAGGGAACAGCCCCATTTGCACCTGCATTTTGAACTCGTTTCCTAACGGAAGTTCCTACCATTGCTCTTCACAGTCAGTCCAGAATGCCGCCCAAGTTTTATGATCCCTGAATCCTCTCGATAGGGGACCACATAAAACACAACACAAACCTGTGACTTCTGTGCGTTGCACCACCCTGCGTGTTGGGGCTGAAGGCTCACACTCAGTCTTGCTTCCTGATTCAGCTCACACTTGAGTTCTGACCCAATACTCGAGATCAGTGGGGTCTTAGAGATGTTTCTGGGGAGAAGGCACTTGATCTTGGCCAAAAGGCCAAGAAAAAGCCGCTGGGCACAGTGGCCCTCAATTTCTCCACCTGTAGAGAAAAGGGTTGGCACTATTTTATTCTCCAGACAACTGCAGGGCTACCGTGAGAGCACCTGCTCTGCCTTCTGCTGATGGGACGCCCACCTTGACCATGGATTTAAGATTACAGAATAAGTGAGTCTGCAAAGAGGTTGCTTGGAAAGACCTCACACAGTGGGGCAGAACAGTTTTTATGTTGTCTGTGTTGCCCACCCCACAGGACCTTGAGGGTCTCTCACTTCAGTGCCGTTGTTCACCGCCCGGGGTGGGGGGGCCCTGGAAGATGCACTGCAGTTGGAAGACAAGCTGAAGGATGTAGATGCAAAGATGTAGCGCCCTGTCCATCTATTTCACTGCTTCCTTGAAGTGTTGCCTTAAATAGACCTGTGCCATCAGGAGCAGTTTTCTCAATGATTTGACAGAAATTGGTAGGTGGACCCTCATTTAGAAATCTTACCCAATGAGGGCTCAAGTTTGTACCCAAAAACTTACCTGCCTTCAGAATATCTTAGGAAATCAAGGAGGAGGTAGGGAAGGAGATACGATAACAGGGAGAGTCCGATGTCCCGTTGATAACACTCCAGCAACAAGATTAGTGCGCCTGGTAGACATTCTAAACTCTAGGATTGCTTCCAGAGCATTCCATGGGAATACTTTCTGATGTTCTCTGCCAATCAAAATAGAATATGATATTCTCCGATTTGTTGCTACCTTATATTAGAAAGGCTTTTACCTAGTGCTTCATCAAGATGCCTTAGTTGTTTGTGTATGAAAGACTCTGAAGTCAGGAATACCTGGACTTGACCTTCACCTGGATTTGTAGAAAACTAGCATACTGTTTGGGGCAAGGGACTGTACATCAAGCTTCCTTTAAATCCCATATTGTGCCAAACTTAGTTACCAACCACCCCACCCCCCAAGGAAAGAAAGTTACACTGAGACAACAGAAAACACATCCATACAGTAAAATGATGTGAAATTGATCATATGTTTCTTCACATTTTTCTTCTGCTGAGCAAAGTGTCCATTTTAGATAAATTTTCTCTTGTAATCTGACAGAAGTAAGTTGTCAGGATACATTAGATACCTTGCCTGTCCTTTCCCTGTTTCAGGAAACCGGCGAGTCTCCACTTGTCTTTCGCTTTTGACCATTCCCCTGTCAACAACCTCTCACCAACCACACACAAGCCGTTGCCAGGGCTTCCTTCCACTTTTCTCAACCCCCAGATGCAATTTAGTCATGCCAGCATTTTGAAGCACAGGGCACACAGCCTGTGGGTCTGTTTAGGTTGCTGATTAAACCTGGTGGAGCCGAAGAGAGGTGAGGGTTCGGTAAAATGTGTCAGTCTCTCCTTGCACATGCTTGTTGCATGGTCAAGGCCTCCAGGGTGCTAGGTGGCGAGGCGCTGGGCTGGGTGCAGATATTTAACCCTATGCAGTATTTCTTTGGGAACCGAGAGAGACAGGAATGTGAGACAAGACTGTCTCATATCGTGTGTTAGGTCTCTCCACCAAATGTCTTATTTTTCCAAGTTTTAAACAACTTACGATCTACAACAGGTTGTACAAGAACTATGCAGTGACTGGGTTACCTGTGACAGAAGGAAACACCTCTACATAGATGGCCTTTGTGGGAGGGAGTACTAAACAGTACTTGACAAATAAAAAACACATTCAGGCCTGTGTTTCTTCAAATGGTCTCAACAGGAAATTGCACTAAGATACTGTTCAAAGAAGAGACTCCACAGCAAAGATAGCCTTTCTGATTTCCCCAGAGCTGTTCTTTACAGGGAGCTGGGAAGTAAGCCTGTCAACTCTAGGCACACTAGGGTTCTCCTTCCAGGACCTGGCAAGCCCTGGCAGCTGACTGCTAATCTCTGGCCTCTACTCCAACCCTCCTGGGGGTGTTTCCTTTCTGATGTTAGAGATTTGTGACCCAGTCACACTGCCTTGCAAACAACCAAAAGCAACTTTCCCCTTCTCTAGCCTCAGCAAATAAGCCACCCAGAAAACAGGTTCTGACCACAGGAAGCCAGGGAATTTGCAGGTTACAGTTTGGAATGGAGCATGGGGTTGTTGCTAGGTGTTTTGAAGCTGCAAAGGATGTGTGAGGTCCTGGAGCCTTCAAGGATGCAGGGCAAAGAGAAGATGTAGTCTCTGGCCCTCTGAGAGCTGTGGGTGCCCTTCCTCCTCACCAGCTCAGTCTCTGGGCGGCTCATATTCACTTTCTCCCTTTCATTAATCGCGCTCCTTCCTTCCTCTCGTGACCTCTTAATTCTAGCGGTGTACAAAGGTGAGGGTACCTTTTCTGAGACACCGGGATACAGGAATGTATATCTTCTTGACCGAGGACTGTACATGCCCTTACCTTCTTGGAGCACAGAGGATGGAGAACGTGGGGAGCAGGAATGCAGTGATATGGCACTCCATGGGTCCCTGTTAAGGTTTGGATTCTGATGTCTTCCTAGCGCCACACCCTGATAAGACCAGCAGTGGCCCAGCTCTGAGCTTCGTCTTCTGAGAGAAGCATCTCTCTGCAGGATCATGGCGTTCTGTGGGAAACAGATGGCACATGGTCTCTCCTGTCTGTGTAAGTCCCTGCGCAGAGCTGAAGGTCTGATGCTTACCCTGCAACAATGGCCCTCCCAAATCTGCATGTGACCCAGAGCCAGGAAAATCGAGAACTAAAAAGAGCAACAGCTTTCAGACTTTGCTTCAAACTCAGATACATTTTTATACCAAGCCAAAACTGGCAGCAAGGATATTGTGCCCTGAGCAGCTTTCAGGTGCTCTTGAGGACTGGCCAGCTAGACCATAGAGGGTTGTGTTGTCTAAATCCAATCATGGCTGGAAAAAGGCTCAACCCAGTTCTTAGAGTCAGTCATTTCAGAAATTTTGAAAGCCAGTCAAGAAATATAGCCATCACTGAAAGGTAAATACAGTTAAATCAGTTACATTTTAAAGTTACATATCATCACTTTCTACTTATTTTGCTAGATTTTTCTGTTAGCCATGCCCTTGAGGTAAGATATGCCTATTATATGTCTGTTATGGAAATACTGTGTAATGGAGTCTGTCCTATTGGAATTATATTCTCAGTGACAGGGTCAGTGACATTATACTGAGCTCATCCACCGAGGTAACGTTTACAGCATGGAAAGCAACAAATGCTACAGGTCAGATGCCTCCAACCCCAAATAACTCCAAGCATTGGGAAACAATCAGCAACATATCACTATCTGAAGCCCTGAAGAATGCTTGCTTTCCCAAAACTCAGCAGCAGCGTGCTTTGCTGGCATGCACAGGACCCTGGCTTTGTTGGGGAAGGAGGTTGGGCCTCCCAACATACAGATCTAGGCCAGGTGGAATTGAATGTCCCCTTGGGCTTGTGAGTCAGCATTACATCACCCATAAGTCCAAGGCTTCTTTTCACATTCATATTGCCTCAGAATAGGGCCAGCTGTGCAGAGAAGCCACTGGCCTCTGGATGTTGTTCCTTCAGGGGGAAGTTGCACTAAGTCAGCTAGTTCATGCACTTTCCAAAATGTGGCTGTATGTTTGCCGCCTGGCCAGACCAGGAGCTCTGTTAGTGTCTGCATAGATAAAGGAAAGCCCCAGAAGAGGCTCCCTCAGGCCCACCTCCCCTCAGTCTACAGCCCCATCCTGCTCTTGGCAATGAGATCTCGGCAGCGGTCCTGTCCTTGGTGTGGGTGTACAGGTGTTTCGGCTTTGTATTCCCTCTTTTCTCTTTTCGGCGCTCTGTCTACTGTCCCCTGTCTGGTCCGGCCCCACCTCCCTATTGGACTATATATATGTGCTGCATGTGTGAACCTCAGTAACTCTCCCTTCAGGTTCCTGGAGTCTCCGTCTCTAGCTCAGCTGACCCTGCTGTGAACTCGTCTTTCTGGTATGCTCCTTTGTGTCTCATTTCCGAGTGCCAAAATGTTGGGCCAAGCGTATTTTCACAAAATGTTCTGAGACAGCCTTGTGTATCCTTGTGAAAGGGCATGCTTCATGTGGGATGGCTCATGTACAGCGCAAATCTATCACATGTGGAAGTGTGTGTCCATTTATGTGCCAGATAATATCATTCATGTAATAGCTGCAAAGATATTTAATGTACATCAGATGAATAAAAGAGCATTTTTGCTCCATTATATTCAAGTAAAGATTGTTGTGTAATGACCTTCCCTTCCAAAGAACCCCCAAAGCACAAGTACATGCTGCTGGGGTGGTGGGGCAAGCTTGTAATCCCAATGTTCAAGAGGCTGAAGGAAGAGAATTGTGAGTTTGAAGCCAGCGGAGCCACAGAGGAAGACCCTGTCCCAGGTAGGGGGAGGAAGCAAAGCAAATACAAAAGCACATTTTCATGTACTTGGTTCCAGAGAAAGCCAGCTCCTCTGGTGCAGGGCAGTTTTAGCTGCTTCTCTGGGCCGGTTCCATGAGTACTGACATGTTGGTGATTTCACAGAAATACTTTCTAATGGTTACCTAGGGCCCCTGTAAAGAAATGCTTGAAAGAGGGTTGATGGTGAACCAGATGCTTGTGTTATTTTGCCCTAAAGCAAGAACAGTTAACAGATTTCTATCTCACATATCACCTCTAATTAATTGTTAATGACTGTTTGAAACATTCGTTTGAGAACAATAAGGGGAGAGGAATGCTGTATTTGACGGTGACCAAATTAGAGGCAGAAACAGGCTGCAAAGCCACATATTTGCTGTTGCCCAAGAAGACTTCTGGTTGGTTTTAACAGAAGACCCAAGTATCCTGCTATTCTTCTTTAGTATATGGTCGTGCTGTGTTTGACAGGCTACACTCCAGGGATCCTCCTTCCTCTGTTTCCAGGGTAGCCATAGCTCCCAGCTCATATTATGGTATCCCTCCAAGAATTTGGGATTTTAATGAATGCACACCATTTGTACACAAGTACCTGAACTGCACAGGAAAAAGCCTTGGATGACCTGTAGCTGTGCTGCAGTCCATCATCAGCTGCCAGTGTAGAGCCTGGCAACTGAACTTGGGTCCCCTAGAGGAGCACAAGCACTCTTAACTAACACTGGATTATCTTTCCATTCCCAAGAACTTTCACAAACAACAAAGTTATTCAATTGTGAGTCGACAACATTAGTGATAACCCAGGTTCTTCCCTCTCTAGATCGGCTCTCCATAGTGTGCTGGTTTCTATCCCCACAGGGACTCAAAATGGTGGCAGGAACTCCAAACAGCACATCTTTATGTAGTAATCTAAGGGCCAGAAGCAGCTAGAGCTAGAGCCCCCTCCCTTTTTTTTACGTAAAGGAGAAATTTCTGAGTCCCCCAGCAGACTCCCCTGTGTCATTGGCTGGATTTGCCTCATCTGTAGTCTCCTAAACCAGTTACAGGGAATAGGATCATGTTGCCATTTTCCTTCAAGCAGTCAAAATTCACATCTCCACGGAGCTTGAGAGGAGTTCTCCTCCCTTGAAGCCAGTGGCTTCTGACTGCCTGAACCAATTTGGGGTTTCATGAGTAAGGAATTAACTGGAGAGTGGACCATGAGCACTGGAACCAGGCTCTCTTATGCCAGTAGCCACATCCGCAGTTTATGTTAAATTTAGCTTCAGTCAAGAATTCAATTGCCACTGGGCATGGTGCTCCATGCCTGTAATCCCAACACTCAGGAAGGCAGAGGCAGGTGGATCTCTGAGTTCAAGGCCAGCCTGGTCTACAGAGTGAGTCAGGCCAGCCAAGGCTACACAGAGAAACCCTGTCTCAAACAAAGGAAAGAAGAAGAAGAAGAAGAAGAAGAAGAAGAAGAAGAAGAAGAAGAA